ACCGAGCGATTCTGTGTGTGATTCTGTGATTTCTTTTTGTCATAAAACTTGTACTGACCACACGCCTCTCTCCAGAATGCTAAAACTAGAAGGAAAACTAAGAGGAAAGAAGGGCAGATAAATGTGGATACTTGTGAGCACAGACCTGACTAGCGTTTTATTCTCTGAAGTGTGTATGAACTGCTTTGCTACCAGTTGAGGCTGACTCGGTGTCCTACACCGTGTCCTGGGTAGCCCCAGCTGCTGATGTACACGTCCTGTTGAAAGGCTGTGGAAGAGTAACTGAGCAGTGAAATAACGTCTGGTACAACAATAGTCTTCTGACTCCTGCTGCTTTAGAGAACAGCACGGAAAAACATTCACAAAAATGAACATTGCAAGCATTTGCAACGTAGGTGCATGTTACATGTGAGCTTTGAAGTCTGACAATGGAAGCTCTCACAGTTTGAGAGTCAGTTTGTTTCTGAAGAACTTAAGTATTACTCTTCATGGTGCTTTTTAAAGCCAAAGAAAAGCTTAGCCTGACCACGGAGCTGCTCTGTAGTTTGTTGATGAATTACTTGTTGCGTGATTGTTGCATTGTAGCTACAGAGCTGTTCCCATCAAGATTACAAGCATATTACAGTTCTGCTTATAAGAAAACCATAATTCTTCTGCTCTTATGTAATTTTTGCATTATAGCCTTCTGAATTTAAGCTTTTTACCTCTCTTTGATAGAAAAAGTTGCAGGTGTTTACAAAGACCTTCAGAAGTTATCCCGTCTCTTTAAAGACCAACTGGTTTACTCTCTTCTGGCTGCTGCCCGACAAGGTGAGAGAAAATATTGACAATTAGAGATGATACTTCATTTCTGATGGTGGAAGGTAGGGAGTCTGTCTAAAGCCATGAAGGAAAAGTGTTAGAGCTGTTCAGTGATGGGTATATAAAGAGTAAGCATTAAGTAATTTAGACATTCTAAAGAAATTATATTAATCTTTGTTTCTCAGAAAATGTTACTGTAATTGCCTGGTTTTAATTTTTGATTAGTCTCAAGAGACTGGAGTGCCTGTTTTCCACGCTTAGTGATGAGAAAACCATACCACAGTAGTTTTGTGGCAGTAGTTCTGTAGTTTTGATCCATTTCTTTGTCAAAGCAGAAAAATTTATGTAGCATCATATTTGGAAGTCTGACACCAGGAATGATCTTCTCAGTAACTGGCCATTGAGGGCTTGGAAAGGATGGTAGGAAATAACCCAAGCTAGTGTTTGTGGAGCAGTAGGAATCCAGGCTTTCTCTGTATAGGTATTGCTATAAACGGTCTCAGCTTTGTATTCCAAAAACTATTCAGTAGAATTCCCTCTAGACTTCAGTGTGGGAGTGTTTGATGTGAAGCATGTGCTCTGTGTTTATTGTGGGTTTTGTGGCCTCAAGAAATTGGGCAGGTCTTTTTCTTTTCTTTACCTCTTCCTTTGTTCTGTAGCCTATAAATGCAGTTAGGCGTGTGGAATGTTTCCTAGGCTTACAGTGGTCAGTATAAAGTGCCATTGGCCCTGTTTTGTGCACTCCGTAAATGTACTTAGAGTTGCAAGGGATCTGTTTTATAAGAAGTCATGTCAGAGTAGTTTCCGAGAAAAGTGATGTGACTCAGGCATGAAATGGAAATGATTTGAGGGAAATACTCTAATGTCCTTTCTTTCTTTCAGGGTCTTCAGAGAGAGTAAACTGCACTGCTTAGGTAATACTTATGTTTTTCTCTGCTTTGTAGCTCTGAACTTGCCGGACGTGTTTGGCTTATTGGTTCTTCCTCTTGAGCTCAAGTTTCGGATTTTCAGACTTCTGGATGTCCGGTCACTCATCTCTCTTTCTGCTGTTTGCCGTGATCTTTACACAGCTTCAAATGACCAGCTTCTGTGGAGGTTTATGTATTTGCGAGATTTCCGAGGTAATGTGGAAACACGTGTTTTTCTAATTACATTCTCATGTGAACAGAGGGATTAGGTCTGACGTATTTTGATAAGAGGCTTTTTAGGCAACTACTTCTGATTTTTAAACACTGTGAGTAAATGCAGTCATTTGTGATGCTAACCTGTACAGTTGGTCAGGTGTAAGTCAGGTGGATGTGCAGTTTTCTGCTGTGAAAACTGGTGACAGTCTGCTGAGCCATTACTCGGCCACTAATGGCCATGGTTCCTCCCATTTCAACTGCTTGTGGTGCAGGCTTTTCCTTGTTTTCATCTGTTTCCCTGGCTCCCTTGGTGTACCAGCTATTGTAGATGTTAGGGTGTGGAGGGAAGAGATATTCCTGCTTTAATTTCTAACGAGATGGAAGAAATAATGATATCAAGGAAAGTGCTGTCAGAAGTCAAAGCCTGGGACAGTGTTTCTGGGGTTTCTTTACTTACTCTGTAGCTTTTGGAGATGATGCTTTATGTAGAGTGAGTGTGCAAGTAGATTACCTACGGAATGATCCTGGAGTTTAAACTTTTTAAGATGCATTATCATTATGAAAAATGTGTTGACCAAAAGTATTTTTTCATCTCTTGATTCTTCTGTAAGTTCTGACAAAACTGGGGGCATCTGTGGCATGAATGCTGCTTAAAAGTAAAATAGATCACTCTTAATTTTTTGCTTCTTTTTGTAGATCCTATTATTAGGCCTCGTGACACAGACTGGAAAGAAGTAGGTGGCTTTTTAAATATACTTTTATCTTGAGACTATTCTCCACAGGCTAATTTGAGAATAAAGCATAGACTTTGGGAGGCAGTAACTTTGATTTAAATCTTAGTTTAAAAAATGTGGTGTTCTGTGTACACATATTGAGTTTGATCAGAGTAGGGGAAAACAGCATCAACAAGTTACACGGTGCATGCCCAAATCATGGGTTAGGAGTCTTCCAGGGATGTTGTGTTTGGTCTTTGGCAGGCAGGGGGTTTGCTGTTTTGGGTTTTCAGACTGATGAGGAGTGCATTTTTGCTGTGCTGTGAATGCAGTTGCTGAAGGTGGAGCACAAAGCGCCTGCAGAGCTTTAAAATTCCTTTGTTTCTCTCTGCAGCTATACAAGAAAAGGTTGAAACAGAAGAAGGAGGCCCTGAGATGGAGACACATGATGTTTTTGCCCCCTACACCTCATCCAATCCCCTTTCATCCCAACCCATTCTATCCTACTCCCTTTCCTCCCAGCCCATTCCCATCAAACCCAATCTATCCCTCAGTGATCATTGGAGAGTATGATGAGAGACCAACACTCCTCTATGTTGGAGACCCCATTAATTCACTCATTCCTGGCCCAGGAGAAGCACCAGGTCAGTTTCCTCCATTCAGACCACATTTTGACCCAATTGGTTCCTTGCCTGGAGCAAACCCTACACTTCCAGGACGAGCTCCCAGTGATAGGTTTCAGCCTAGACCCAGCCGGGGCCGCCCCATGGACATTCGCCGTGCGTTCATTTGATTTCTGCTTTTTCCTTCAGTAAGTTCTAGTCCCTGAGCTTGCTTTCTAACTGCAGGAGACTGCAAATCCCAGGCACTAACATCTGCCTTCTTTTCTGATTGTGACAAGAACATGTGTGCATGGTGATGTTTCAACCACAAAGGCTGGGTTGGTTTTTTGACCTGGTACTGCTGTACCACCTGGCACTAAGGTCTGTTTCATGGAGAGCTACAACTTAGAACAGTTTGTTCTGCTCCATGCCCCGCTCCTCACCTTTAACCATCTGTGAAGTGCTACTTAGAGACCAGAAGGATAACGGCCAAATATTTGCTGCATCAGATAAAGAGCACTTTAAATACAAACCCTCTACTTGTCTGTCTTATTTGAAGAGTTCTGTAAAATTGCCAGGAAAAATGATGTTGTTCAAAATATAACTGGCTAATAATCTTTGTTAACCAAAAAAATCTACCATGTTCCACATAGTACAGGATACTATCACTGTTATGGTAGATGTGAGGTCATAGAAATTTTCAAAGATGACATTTCCTTTTTTCTTTAATGTTTTATTAGGTAAAAAGCTTTTTTGTATTGTTACTTAAGACACAAAGAATACAGGGAAGGGATTTTTCTTTACAATGGAAATAGTAGAACACAAATCAATCCATTTTACAAACAACTGAGTAAAGTCATGCTGCAGTGCAACTCGGAAGTCTGAACAAAAGCAGAGCAATTTTACAAAGAACCAGCAGCAAAACTTTTGTCTTTCTCCTTGACTTTAGAAATAAGGAGCTGTAGTACCTGGCTGCGTTTACTGTGTGTGAACTAAAAGTGGTGCAAAAATAAATCTTTCCTCCTGCCTAACTTAACTTAAGGAATTAAATAAGTTGACCTGGTTGCAGTGGAAATGGGATCACAGCAGGAGAAGCAAAATGAATTCTCACTCTACTGCAGTAAATCCCATTTAATTCTAATACTTAGGTATCAAAATACAACTTGCCAAGAGGAAATGTGTTATAGCATGTTATGAGCACCTTTCAAGTATTGTCTTATTAACTAAGGAGCAACTAACAAGACCACCGTTAAAGTCTCCTGATGAGATTTGCAGGCTGATGCTGGAGCTCCATTAAAGGAAGACTGGAGTGACTAAACTTTGCTAGAAATTTTCATTTCTTACGTATTTTTTTAAGATGGATTGATCTCCGTGTTTCTGTAACTGTAAATGGTACTGACGACTGTTGTGACGGCTGATACTATTTTCTAAAATCCTTTTGAAATTGCAACACTGGAAATGGAATTACATTTCCTATTAAATACAAGCTATTTAGTCAGTAATACTTGTGTGCTTTTTCAGGTCTCTGAAACTTGTTTTGTATAAAATCGGCTCACTTCAGCAGCGTCAGAAAGTTTTGCCATTAACTCCGGTGGAAGTAAAATATAATAGTTTATTTTGCTGTCAAAAGTTGTATTTCTTCTTTCTTTCCTTTTCTACTTCACAGTAACGGCGTACCAGTGCAAATCCTGCCATGATTAAACACCTCAGAGTACGTACTTAGAGTCTGGGGTCAGTGGTTTCCCTTTAATACTGAGTTCAGCCTTAATTTTTAACGTTTGCCTGTGCTGGTTGAATTGCCTTGTTCCAACAGAGTTTTCACTTAAGTATATAGTAATGTCTCTTAAAGTGTAGTGATTTCTTACATTTCACTGACTGTAAAAAGGAAGAGGGAAATCTACGCTGCATTGGTCTTGCACCATTTTGTCCTTGTGATTAGCGCTTCAGAAAAGCATATATAATATTCACCTATGTTTACACAACTTTAACTGATAAAATAGTTTGTAGCTTACTCTTCACTTTTTCGAAGTTATTTCTGGGAAATAAAAACAGTGATCTCTGTTTGTACGGGAGATGTTCACTTTGTGGTGCCAGTGGTACTCACATTGCCAGTTCCCTGGTGGCAGTCACGTTACTTGCTCTGCTGGCATGCCCTGTGCTGCTCTGGAGCTGGGCCCTCCCAGCCATGAAGACAGCCTTGCCCTGTTCTGCCAGGCTGGTGCCACAGGTTCTGCTTGTCCTGGATTTTGTCATTTAAATGTTTGTTTTTGAAGAACTGAATCTACATTTTCACAGGTACACCACTAAGTTACCTGAAGATACTCCTTCCCTCTCCATTGTTCCTTCACATTGTAGTAAAGGTATTGTGAGCCAGAGATAAAGCAACCTGACTTACCCTGAATTGTTAGGTTCCCTAAAGAAGAGTTCCCTTTCTTCATAAAACAGGATATGAAATATAAAGTGAGTATCTCAGGACCAACAGCATAAAATTAGAAGACAAAACAGAGGAAATAATGGAAAACTAGCTGCTTATTTTGTTTATTCAGAAGCTCCTAAGTCATTGCTGTTGAAGGGAAATCATAGATGCCCAATAGATGGGCATTTCTTACCTGCACTGTGCATCTGTATCCAGCGCTGTTAAGGTTACTACTAACAGTCGCTTGGAAATAAGGAGCTATTGCCCTTGGGTTTTCTGTTTATTATTTTCTTATTTATTAAACTTTACCCAACCAAATGGAGTAACTGGGTCATGTGTAGGTTGTAAGCTCTTCTGTATCTGTCTGTGATTAGTGAAAGAGAAGAAAATGCTGCAGCAGTTACGAGTAGAACTGCTATTATTCTGAACCTTAGCTTTATACAAGACTTTTAGTTGCATGGGAACATAGGTGGCATTCCTCCCGAAATACGACACCTAGGTACTACAAGAAAATCAAGATGTTTCTCAGTCCGTATCTAAACAGCAAATTATAAATTAATTTTCCAGCTGGTGGATATGAGTGGGTGTCTTAGCTGTGTCCCAGCTCCTTCTTGGGCTGGATCCAGACACAAATCTATTCATGTTTCCTGCCTTCCACCTGAAGAAAATAAAGGCATGCAGGACAAAATGGGAGCTCTGACCAGGTGGTCAATTTTCACAGCTGTGTCAGAAATATCCCATGCTGTGGGGCATGTCTGCCCTGGGATTTAAATGTAATGTCTGTTCACCAATTTTTGGTGTTGCTTTCTTGCTGCCCCTAACTGTTGTGTTTAGATACCTAAATACCTCTGGGCTATACCTTAGTTCCTCATTCCTAAAATGGAGAATACGCCCCTTGTATTACCGCTCTGTCTTGCTTTGTTAGATTGTAGTGATTTTGGAATATAAACCCTGCATCGAAGGTGATAACCTGAATATATGATGATGCATTTGTGAATCTCCTGCTACCCACTGCTTCAGAGTTGTAGATACAGGTGTAGTGTCAGAACGTTTAAATGACACAATATAGTTAGTCATTTTAACTTAGGAAATCAACTCTAATGTGTTCATTAAAGCACTTGTGTGGATAGAACTGAAGGTGCTTTTCAGGACTATAGGAGTAACTAAGTTAAGCTGTAAGTGCCTGTTGCTTTTACTCGTCTTTGCATTCTGGAGCTAGGAGGAGGGGAGATGCTATTCTGTTTGCCTGCCCCTTGAAAGATGACAGGAGCTGCAGGCAACTGAGATCTGAGCCCCTGCTGGGTATCAAGTCAGTGTGATCCTGTCACTGTGGTCACTTGGAGGAACAGCTCAGCTGTGTTCAAGTACAGCATCAGCAGATGATCCAATGGTTGTGGTTTGTTTTGGTGATGAACTGGGGTGGATTTATGGGTCTATGTCACACCAGACACTACTTATTTTTAGTATAGGTTGTGTTGGTAAGAGAGAGATAAAGAGATTCAGGGGATAGAGCAATTGAGGATTCTGGCAGTAAACTTTTATTTTTGTCTTTGCGTCTCTGGTGACCATTTAGTAAGGAAAGGCATAAACCATGCTGAGGGAAGTGTTATGGAAGGAAATCCTCTCCCACCAGGGTTGTATTACCTTTTCTCCATATAGTGGAGCCTGTTAATCTACTATTGTTCTTGCCAGTGGGACAGCGCTTGCTCAAGGCCGTTTGTCACTCCTATTGCTCCTGGAGACTGCAAAACAGCAGGGTCTGTTTATTTTCTCAGATGTGACATATATTTATGATGCTGCGTTGTAAACTGTTTAGCAAACCTGGAAGGACAACACAGAACTGAAAAAAAAACCATCAGGGAATAGGGTGGTTCTGTAATACTGAATTTGAGGTATAAATCATTGATCTGGATGAGTCTCTTGAGAGCCTTCCAGCCTGGAAAACCTCTGCTGTTACTTGCCTGAAAGTGCACAGATCACAAAAGCCATTATATGTGTAAAGGCCTGCTCAGGGGTAGGTCATACGAGGTCCAGATGACTGCATTGGATTTAGATGTTCATTACAGGTGCTATGCAGGAAGGAATTGCTTGTTTGGCTGTATTCCCACCAGTGAATTGTAAGATCCAAGATGGCAAATGCTGCTGTTGCTTTTGCTGCTTTGGGGGTCTCCCTGTTTAAGTGAGAGCAAATGTCTGTGCCATTGGCTCAGATATTTTTAACTTACAGACCCCCCTGCCTCCCTGGACGTTCCTGTCATCAGGGTGAAGATGCTAAGGGAAGCACAAAGCCAAAAGTCTGGCCTTGAAGCTGTATGCGTGGTTTGTGACTAAAATACTTGACAGAACTTGAAAAACAAGTTGAGGGCATGGGATGGATGGGGACTGACGCTTGCATTGGTTGTGTTATAACTAGAACTAGCACAGTGCAAGAGATAGGTTCTCAACTGGTAGAAATAGCCATAAATACATTGATTTACTCAAAGTGCTTTTTTTTTTTTTTCTTCAATTGTGAATGTAGATTGTGTCATTCCTGGTTTTTGCCATGTCCCACTTGTAGTATATGTGCTCATACAACACAGCTTCATTCTGTGTTGCAGGCTTTGGGGAAAAGCCCACCTGGCAAAGGTCCATCTCTGCTTTCTCTGGAAGAATAATGCTTGGGGATGGTCAGGGATGACTAATACTGATCATTACCTGCCTGGGGCTATCCCATACATACCCTCCCGTGGCTTGGTGTCTTTGGATGGACCACGGCTCATCTAATTTGTATAGTTTTCCTGTTCTGTTGCAAGTTTGTCAGTTTGTGTTCATTTTGCACTCACCCCAGTGAAGTCAATGGGAGTTCAAGGAGGGAGACAGGATTTCACTCCCTCTCTCTGTCCATTCGGCATTATGGAACACTCAGCACACAAGTATGTGCACTTCATCAGCTCTGATATTAATTAAGCATGTTCCTGGGGGACATACTTAACCAGATGTGACCAAGTCACCAAAGTGCTTGGAGTTTAGCTGGGTTTTGTCTGGAATTTGTGTGAACTGTGAATGTGAACTCTGGTGTTTCCAGGGGCAGGGGAGGAAGGTTTTTTTTGTATGGAAGGCCCATTTCTCAGGTTATT